CACTAGAATACAGGAAATGGCATCTACTTAATTGAAAATGTTCTGGGGGAAGACCCCCAGACCCCCTAGGGATTTATTTCCTTCATACATCCATGTCGCTGTGTGTTCTTCACAGACGTTGAAAATCCACACAGTTCTCGTGGATGCTGATCCTAACAGCAAACTAACCTGAGTAGTCTGTCTAGTTAGTCTGTTTTAAGCTATATAATGTGCCATTTGTATAACATATAAACGTGTCTAAGTGCCCTCTACAGTGGATGGAGGACGTGCTATATGGCCTTTTTTTTCTTTCTGCCCCTGCCCTTCAAAAAGTCTGTGCACGCCACTGCTGGCCAGTTTGGGGAGCAATGGAACACATGTAATGCAGACTCTGGGGTGAACCCATAGCTAACCTGACAGTCGGCAATTTATTATCATGGTGTACAGTGAACATTATTAAACACTATTTTGTCCCTCCAGGATTTTGCAAGTTGTTGAAGGCTAAAATGCCTGATTTCACAGCAACTTTTCTAAAATAAAAATTTGTCAGGCAAGGCAAGTAGTTCCAGTGAGAATAAAATCACACTGTTTGAAGAGTAAATGTGAGAGGTTTGCATTGCATCTGCCTCTTCATAACTAGAAACAAGAAAGTGAGTTGGGTGGGTATAGTTCAGCTTTTGGTGCAGGAAACAACATGATTGGTCAAATTTGTGTTAATTGTTGTGATTGCAACTTCCTGGAGGGACTGATTTGCCTTTAAAGCAGAAATGGGAACACCACAGTAGAGTACAAGTTCTGCCTTCCAGCTGTGAGTCATCCAAGAAACATTTACAAGACCAACCGCAAACCTTAGCTCCACAGAAATCCAGTTATGGAAAGTAATTAAGTTACGTTTCCTTAATATTGCGATACTTGGATTAGGTTCCGTACTGCATTTTTTAGCTCCCAAACCATGGAACTGGAAACAAAAGTAGATAACACACCTTTTCCACCTCACAACTGGTCTTAAAGGTGTCTGTAGAAAATTCTGGGATACTACTGCAGCTTCTCTCTTTGCTGTCTTGTGTTGAGGCGGGGAGGCCTACAGAACATACACACACGCAAAAAGAGTACAGCTTCATTTAACAGTGAAATCAACATTGAATCAAATGTATTCCTCTGAAAAGCTGAAAAACTCTCTCTGCTCTCGACACAACAGCACTCAGCGCACCACTGCAAATAAAGTCCTGTGTACAAAACTCCAATAAGAATAATAAATTTGTGTAATCTGTGCAAAAGATTTACAAATCACATCCCACAGACAGTTCATTTAGGTAACTCAGGCACAGGCTGTAGTGAAGCACTAACTACTGTAGAGAGAAACTCCCTCAAGACAGCGACTAGGCAAAAAGATTACAGAGGGTTTGTTATTTTAGACTTCATTCTGTAAACGGCTATGGTGCAGAGGAAGAGCGGCTCCCCCAAGATGCTTTTATCAAGTGCAATCATCAAGACCTAGACACAGCGCATTCAGCAGCAAGTAATGTGATATCATCCATCGTATTGATAATTTCACCAGTATTTGTTTTAGTGAAGTTGGAAGTTATTTATTCTGGGTTTTGAACAAGACTTGTGTGATGTTGCTCGTTGTTAATATGCATTCAGAAAAATTACTGCTTTTTATGTTAACATTTAATGGGCTACTTTATTGTATCTATAACTTGCCTTGAATTTGTCTCTACCACAACACAAGGTCTTGTCAAATTGCTGCGGTAAAGACATGTTGCGGAAATTACGTTTTTGCTACTATTGCAGAAGAATAGCAGCTGGCAAAGGGCTGCTGTGTTAAATTTGAGTATTAGCATGAACACACACTAATATTAATTAATTTTTTTGATGTAGTTTAAAATTCACCATTGCGGTAAAATCTGACCTACCCAGTTCGGGGGTAACCAGGAACATCGGGGAAGGTCTCATTTTATAATTTACATTACAACCTGTTCCAAGTTGTAAAATGATCAGAATCAGAATCTTACATATTAAACTTTTACTTTGATTTGATTTGATTGTAAGCCCCTCTTCCCAAAATATGATTCATTTGATTATATTGAAAAATGTCACTTAAATAAGCCAATATTTTTAAAACGGTTCAAATTACCTCATATCAAGGATCAAGGGAATACTTTTATCATTATACCAAGATTCATTCATTACAGATACATTGAATGCAATAAAAAAAAAAGGCAAAAAGTGTTGAAGCAAATACTTAACATCGCCAAACAGTATCTGTAGTATCACATTTATTTAACCTTTTGTTTGTTTTTATGTTAATTTAATATGTTGTTGTTTCCTCAGATACTTTCTTCTATCTTTTTAAAAAATTCTATGTTATTCCAGAAATTGGAAACCAGGTGATTTAGAGCGGCTCCTAGAAACAGCACATTAAGCAGTGAGCTGATTTAGTAATGTTATCCCTCATCTGTCTTATCAAAAAGTCCACCAGTATTTGTTTTAGTGAAGTTAGAAGTTATTTATTCCGTGTTTTGAACAACAAAACTTGTGTGATGTTATACTGTGTTGAAATAAAACCGATTTTTCTGTTGTAGATATTCAAATATTTAAAAGAACATGCTTCATTCCACCTTTTTTTAAGTTGCAATGTCAGATTGTAAATACATTTTGTTGATAAAGTTTAAAATGTTAAAAAAAAGATTGTTGTGAACATTCTTTGATGATGTCACAGTTCCAGGGATTTGATGATGTCACAGCACAAGATCAGAGTCGTGGAATGTGATGATGTCACCAAGTGTCTTTGATGCTGGGTTCTTTGAAACCATTATGTATATATACAAGAGCCAGTGTACACGCAGCACATAGTGAACACTTGAGATACTTGAATTGCGCTTACTCAACGCTCAAATACACACAAAATAGAAATGTTCAACAGAAAGGTAGGAATACAGAGAGATGAGAGACTCTTCAAGGCCTGGTGGGAGATGCAGCAGGCAAAAACAGAGGAACATCTGTATTTGCCTGCTGCAGAGGTGGCGGGCTCTCAGGGACAGTCTCAAATAGACAAAATGCCAACCAGTCACCAGAATAGCAGGGTCTATGAATTCAGCAGTGCCGATTTTAGGAAACAAATCGATAGGGATAATGAGGCACTGATAAAACTGGAGAAAAGGAAACAAGTCATGGCTGAATATGAAAATCGTAAGCATGACGAAATGATGCAGTCTAGATGGGAAAATTGTCTGAAGAAGGATCAGGACATCCTCCTCCAGAGAAGCCTCCAAAAGCAGTCTGTGGCACAGTATCAGGTAAGTCAGATGAAGGAAAGGGAGGTGCTGAAACAGAAAGAGAGACTGCAGGACCAGAGAAATGGACAAATGCTCCGGAGGCTTGATGAACAACATGCGCAGAAACTAGCACATTGGGCAGAACAACAGAGGGAGTCAAAGATGAGGAATTTGAAGCAGCGACTGGATGATATCCACGAAAGACACCTCTATACGGAGAAACAGAGGGAAATAATAAGGAGTGAGGAGCAGAAAGCCAGACTTGCTCAGATAGAATCTGAGCAAAAGCTGCTCCAAAGAAAAACTGAACAAGTAGAAAGGTTCAGGAGGCTCCAGGTACCCAAACAGATTGTTTATGACCAACTGGCAGCCTCAAAGAAGAAGCAGGCTACTGCTGTGGCTCTTATGGAAGAGCAGAGGATGTATGTGGTTGAGAGAGAGGCTGAACTAGCAAAGCAGAAGAAGGAGAGGGAGGAGACAAGGGCTGCAGAGCTTCAGTCTGTTTCTGCCCACAGAAAGACAGTCATAAAGGATAAAGAGCTGAAGAAAAAGGCAGAGCAGCAGAGGAGTGTGGGCTTTCTTCAGGCTGCAAAAGAGGCTGACAGGTTGTCCCTAGCTGAAGAAAAGCTGAAGGCTCAGAAGATCAGAGAGGAGAGACTCAAAGCAGATAAGGTCAATGTCTCTCTGGCAGCTGAAAAACATGGCAACCTTCAGCAGCAGAAAAGGGATCAATTTTCTGCAGAGACGAGGCCAGAACCGACTGCTGTGAAGGGGTCACACCTCCAGCAGGATGTTCAGCCTGAACACAAGAAGCTAGGGAGAAAACAGCTTCAGAGGCTGCAGCTCAGCGATGAAGACCCCAATAAGATCGCCTTGGGGCATGTCCTCCTCCCACCCATTTCCAAAGCAGCTAAAGACATCTTAGCTGCCAACAACGCAACCAGGAAAGGGTTTGGGAAATTCTTTAGTGGTGAAGGGTCCAGTTACCTCTCTGCAGATACCAGTGAGCCACTGCCCAGATATTCTAAGGCTAAACCTTCGAATATTAAACTGCTTCAGGGTCGCAACAAACTGGAGCCCAAACAGACCAGGAATAACACAGTGAGACAGACCTGCCTCCCTTCTGCACCGATCTTTATTATGCCCCAGCATGCCCCTGAAGATTCATCACCCACCGACCTCCCAGCCATCCGAATTACAATCAAACAGAAGCTCTAAAACAAGTGTAGGGTTGCTATGATAAATCACAACAGTACCATTTGTTGGTACAACAGTGGTTTAACTGTATTAGTGTAATCAATTCATTTTGGTTATCAAAGTTTATTAATTATCAAAAGATAACAGAAAATGACTTTAATTAATATTAAAGATCCTCGGGGCACCAACCTTAAATAAGGGAACAATAACCAACAATTGATTGATCAGTCTCATAAAAATACACTATTATTTCAGAAATTGTATTTATAATTAAATTAATAACTACAACC